AGGCAAACGCAGCTACAGTATATGGCTGATGAATACCAAGGACAGTTAGAAGGGATGGACACAGACAACAACACAACAACAGGGCAGCTGTGGCTACAATATTGGTTAATCACCACAGTGTATGGAGTGAATAATAATGAAGTGTCCAGAAAAATTATTATTATTATCATTATCATTATTTTCATTGGCAAAAAAACATGCAAATAAAAGGCAATAATAATATGATGGAACTAACTTTGAGTCAAACATTTGGAGGAAGAGGTGAGTTTTGAGCTGTTTTTTTGAAGGCGTTTAGAGAGTTTGGAGTTACTGAGTTGAAAGAGAGAGATATTGTTTTTCTGCTGATTTAAGAAATTGTATGCAGCAGAGCAATTGCAGAGATGAACATAAACACAACTGTTGATGTGTGTACAAAATTTTACTAAAGCATTCTAAACCTGAATATTGAGGAGAAATATGAGAAATTAAAACTTGGATCTTCAGAGCAATGGCTTCTTAGCGTTAGAAGAATAAAGATAACTCAAACATGCCGTTATCGCCATGTCCATCTAGATGCTGCATAAAAGTCCTGCGCTCACATTATGTGCACCATGGGGCCTGGACTTGTCTGAGTGTTTATTAAAACTGTCTTGTTTCATAGCACGCTCTCACAGTAAGGACCATTCTCCAAATATATCACACTGTTATTGTGGGTAATTAAGGCCAAAAGTTAGTCTTTCTGGGCGCCTGTTGTGCATAAGCAAACAGAGCATTTTAATTGAAGTTAAAATATACACTTGCACTCCGTCTGAAACATTGAGTTAACCTGAAGTCTGAACGAGGAGAGTCCTAAGGAGACATTTATTACACAGTCCTTTAAAAATGAATGGTAATGAGACACAAGCTTCTCTTTAGAGCCAGAGAAGACTTGTCATTTCTAACTCTGCTGCCGGCCAAATTTTCCCACAAAACAAACCAGTGAAAGTGCAAAAACACTGAACTGCATTAAAGATTTAGGACGTGTGAAAGTCAAAGTGATCCTGTTTGGCCCTGTGTATACACTGAAGAGTTCAATAATGGCCAAATTGCTTTTTTAATCTCCATCTGTGGTGATCGTGGAATTTGGTGCAAACTAATTAAAACTATAAAAAAAGTTCTCCGGGGAAAGAAATGAGAGAATAGTCCTTTTTAAAAACATGGATTCAAATGTGTCTGGACCTGGGCACAATTTAGGCGTCGCAGTCTGATTTACCCAAACTGCTAGAGTGGTCAGGATCGCAACCCGCCGACTACGTTAGCAGAGGCAACCTTTATAACCTTTAGGTGCACGCGATATTCAGATTATAGAATATTAAATTTGACATATATTTGGACATGTACACATTTGTTTCAGCAGCTGCCACAAGAGATATACCGTCCTTTTACCTTCAGATTGCTTAGGGTAACACATTTTAACACAAAAAACCCCAAAATGGAATTAAAGTGTTTAACCTAAAAAAAATTGCGGGAAAAAAAACAGTGAACAATTGCAACAAATCACACTCAAAATAACATTTCATCTGGAAGTACTGGAAGTTTCTGCATTCAACCATTCTGAACCTGTCATTATAGGTCAGACAAGATCAATAATACTGAATGTGCAAAATACAAAATAATGATCCACGGGAGTCATGATTTACAGCAGATAAAAGCATTATATTTGAAGTCATGTTTGTAGATTATAAGTATGTTTTTCTCTCCAGCCTGTTTTTGATAATCTCACTTCAATTTAGTAAATGTCTACTAATGGTGGCTCTTGTTGTATAGCCAAATACTAACTCCTTACATCCTATTTCCCAGCCATGTGGCACTTTTCCCTCTGCACCAGAGTGGCCTGAAGGCTGCCACTCATCCGGATCTGCTCCGGTTCCTGCCGTTTACACAGAGCTGCCTCGACTAATGCCCCTGTCCCACTCTGCTATGGCAGCTTTGTCCTGGACCAACCCAACCCTTATTTCACCATTTCTCCTCATCGCTCTCCTCTCCCATCCAATTAGCTCTCGCCTCTCCTTTTTATTAGCTGTAATTCACTTCCCTTTACCTCCCTGACTAGCTCTCTCCATCTTTTTCTTTTTCCTATAGGCCCTTTTGGGTGTGTGGCGTCGATCCGAGGAGGACACACTCCACTTAGATAAATATCCCCATCGCTGTGAGCGGAGCCAAGGAGATTTATTCATCCGCCGAGCTGGCAGAAAATTGACTTGTTTCATGGGGCCAGACTCGTGACGCATCGCCACAAGAGAGAGAGAGAGAGAGGCGAGAGGAGGAGGGGATCAAGGATGATAAAGAGAACAGGAAGGAGGCTAAGAAACACGGGTGAAGGGAGAGGAGAAAAGGATTTAGGGGAGTGTAGGGAGGGAGTAGGAGCCATAAAGAGAGATGAGAGAGCCATGTCCCTCCCTTGTAGCTGAGGATAAAGCCAGTGGGCTGGTGAAACACTGATGAGGGAAATGGTACAGTTGACATTTATATAAGAGGATATTGATGAAGCAGAGACAATAGCACAATATCCACTCCTCCACTACTTCTCTTCTTCCCTCTTTAGCTTCTCACTTGTTTACTACTTTTCACTCGCCCTGTCTCCGCAGCTCTGTCCCAGCCCTGACAAACGCCGGCAAAAGTCCACTACATCCTCATTGAGAGAGGCCTGCAACCTTGGGTGACTTAAGGCAAACACGAGTCCATGCGTCACGCTGATAACGTCTTATTTTATCACCACAACGCTACAGAAAAGATGAGCTTGTTCCTCAAACGGGGCCTGTGTTTTTCTCACATATTGTTACGTTTTCAGGAAATATAGAAATGTGTAAGGATGCTGTTTGTACCGACCAAGTCCAGGTAAAAAACGGTACATTGTGTAAAAGCCTGCTGGTACAGTTTTCTGGTGGGGTGAGAGTGAGAAGGCAGCGTGACCATAAGGGAATAATAATAATGAATGAATACTTTATTTTGAGCCATGGCAGACAAGACCAAAGAACAAGAACAAAAAATCAACAGAACAAAAAAAAAACCCTGTTAATCTGAAAATATGGAAAATAACCCAGAACTAGAATCATGTTCAACTAAATACAATATGCCATCTGAGTGCTGAAATTTTTAAAAATCACTAACCAGAACAATAATGGTCTTTTTTTTAGCCTGATCATCCATATACAAACATCCATTTAAAACAATAAATTGGGCAGAACATCTAGGGTATTGACAAACCTTCCAAGTGAACAATGAAAAATTGCACGCATTTCATTAAGGTATATATATATATATTTTTGTTTTTTCTTTCTGCTCCTTTTCATTTGTGTGACAAGACTACAATTATTTGAATTGTAATTGTAATATTTGATGTATTGTCATGTCCACAAATGAAAAAAATAAATAGAAATCAAGATCAAACCCATAAATAGAGCAGGTTTGTGGGTTTTCAAAAGAACAACAGTGTTTTCTATTTTAATTTCATACATTCAAATGACACGTCTCTTCAAGACCGAGGTGATATTGAAGTACAGGATTGATTTATGTTTGTGGTGTTTGAACCCTTCCCTGTGTTGTGACTGCACTTGTTAATTGTTATTGGTTGACTATATTTTTAATAGAGTTGGTAGAATATTTGATCAGTAATTACAGAAGGAACTAGAAAAGCACTCGTAGAGCACACCCCTGGTATAAAAAAACACCTGGATACAGATGGTAATCTGCATCACCTCCCGAATCTAATTTTTTTATCCATGTCCCATTTCTGAGATTTACTGTACTTTTTCTACAAATTCTGCAGTAACCCTTTTTGAGTTATCTTGCAATGAAAACCCCCAGGCACAGGTAATACCGTGTTAGCAACCAGAATAGCTACGCACTGTCAGGTCCATCACACAATATTGAATTGTTTTTTTTTTACATACACTACAGTTTGAAACCGAAATGAGATCAGGTATAGCGATGATTGCTTTTGAATTTTGTAAAATAAGTGTATTCTGTTGTAGACTGGATAACCAGCACTGTGATTTTAAAGCCACAATATGAACAGGGTGAGCATGAACTTTGTGAAACCTCCTCTACTTCAGAGGGTTTGAGGGAATAGCAGCTCAACAATTTACAAACAGAAATCCTTTCACAAATAATTTCCACACAATAACCCGGATAGAATAGTCTCAGGTTGATTTGTGCGTTATTTAAAAAAAAAGATTTTTGGATGGATAGCAATGTTAATCTAAAACCAAACAAAAACAAAAAACAAACACAAGTGCACCAATAAGGTTGAATTTCTGTTGAGATGGGGCCGGGAATTAGGTTCGGTGTCATGTGGTGAAAGCAAAGGAAGGACTCACAATGCAAGAATGTAAAACACAATCATTTCCATTGAGACATCTTAAGTGTGTCAATGGATTAGCCCCTGAAGTGATGTGTAAAGATATCCAAAGGTACAACAGTGAAGGTGTGCGGACTCGAGCTGCAGAGTGAGAAGGAGCCTTCTCACTGAAGACCTCACATCAGTGGAACTCTTTGCCTCAGGAGCTGAAGTCTCAGTCGGACATCAGACTTTTCTTCACAAAATTTAAAAAGTGGATTATTTTTTGTATTGATGTGATGTTGTTTTTGTCTCCCCTTTTTCTTAAACTTCTTTTAATCCTTTCTATCTCAAAAAGCGAGGACAGGGTTGCAAATTAACCTTTGGCTAGAAGGCCTATGTACCTGACATCGGTTACCTATGGGTGGCAATGTTTTGTTGTACTGTCCCTGTCGAATAAATAAATAAATAAAATAATAATAATATGAAAGTCCAAGGTGAAAATCTCAAAAGTGTGTACTGACCGGCAAACTTGTCCTAGTATCAGATTTTTCAGATTTTCTTTGTCTATTCTTGTTGCCCAATATTTCCCCACATCTTTGCTGGACTAAGGACAAAAGCAAGCACATTTTTTAAAAGTCCTTTGTTTTTGTTACGCTTGAAGCTGTATGTTGGTCACGATTATCACATGAGGAAATCGCTGTCACTCCTTAATTCTACAGAAACCACACATAGTTGCGAGCATCACAGCACTGCAGCTCCGGCCTCTGTGGCGGAGCTCCGTGCAAACGCAGCAAACAGAGGTGAGGCTGATTTGTGCCTCCTCCCGGCTCGCGCTCGCTGGAGGTGCAGTCTGCAGAGGTGTGTGTTTGTGTTGTGGGGGCGATGGGGCGTGGAGGATTTCTGCTTGTATCAGCACCTGGGCGAGCGAGTGAGCGCTGTACGGGGGAGAGAGATGGGGGGCCTGGGAGCCGTGTGTGTGTGCGCGAGGCAAAGGGTGGGGGCCGTAAGTATAATTTAGTCGTAGCAGCAGCAGCTCAAGGCTCATGTCAACCTTGGATAGGGACCCAGGATGATAATTTGAATTGGGAATTAAGTCACCAATCAATGGTTATACTTATGCTGAATCAGTGGTTTATTAAGGGGGCAGAACTCAATCATCTGTGAGGGAATGTGCCGAGGCGAGTGCGCATGCGTGGACGGCTCTATGTCAGACGGATGACAGGAAGCTAATGCAGTGGGTGCTGAGGCTGCTTTTAGATCTAATAGTACACACAGAAGGAGGAAACAGGTTTATTTAGCAGTGGTGCAAATCATTATGTGGAGTGACAATTCACAGCTGGGGAGCAATCAGAATGACTTAGCTTGATATCGAGAGTACCTTTCTAATATGAATCATTATAATAATTAAATGAGCATCCATGAGTTTAGTGTCACTGTATATTGCAAGAGTCTGTTTGAGATGACTAACAATTCAAACAACTATGAGCACGAGGGACGATACATGGAAGACTTCTGATAAGACATCACTTAAATACAGATTTGATGACTAATGCCAATTTCAATACCACAAATCTAATGTAGTTTTTATAGTATTTGATTGACTATCTGCAAATAGATCTCATCTACAGCCTCAGTCCTGAACTACAGCCTCGGTCCTGGACTACAGTCTCAGTCCTGAACTACAGCCTCGGTCCTGGACTACAGCCTCAGTCCTGAACTACAGCCTCGGTCCTGGACTACAGTCTCAGTCCTGAACTACAGCCTCAGCCTTGGACTCATCTACAGCCTCAGTCCTGAACTACAGCCTCAGTCCTGGTCTACAACCTCAGTCCTGGACTACAGCCTCAGTCCTGAACTACAGCCTCAGTCCTGGACTACAGCCTCAGTCCTGAACTACAGTCTCAGTCCTGGACTACAGCCTCAGTCCTGAACTACAGTCTCAGTCCTGGACTACAGCCTCAGTCCTGAACTACAGCCTCAGTCCTGGACTACAGCCTCAGTCCTGAACTACAGCCTCAGTCCTGAACTACAGCCTCAGTCCTGAACTACAGCCTCAGTCCTGAACTACAGCCTCAGTCCTGAACTACAGCCTCAGTCCCAAACTCGCCTACAGCCTCAGTGTTTGAACCTGTGGAATCAGACACATTCTGTGAAATATCAAGTGTTCTAGTGGCTGTACATGCACAGCCGTTTGGGACACTGTTTTTATATTACAGCACATTCTCATTGTCAACCCTCAGCTTTTGTCTCTTTAATACAAAAGCTGATTTTCTAGAAGAAGGACGTAGCTCTTCTCTTGTGTGATAAGGAAAATAAACCAACACCTTTGATGACTGGATAAAAATATAAAGTGGATTGAGGCAGTAGACCTACAACAGAGGCACATTTCACCACAACAATATATGAATCTTCTAAGTAATTTGAATTCACGTATTTAAAACAAACAGAAAATAGTAAAAAAACAAACATAAAAAAGTTTAAGTAAAATGCAAATCAAAGTTTTATCAATAACATTCTTTGAAATACATTTGATATAATTTCTATAACTCTTTCAAAACGGCTTATTCAGCTGAAAATAGCTGAAAATTGCTTGTAAGTCCTAGATTCTTTCAATGGTGTCAATATTGCGACATGAAATGAATCTCTGTATACCCGTTTTCCATTTCACCTCAATTGTTAACATTCTACAAACACCTCCAAGAACATCTACATTTCCCCATTTCCAAACCAGCCTTGGGATTTTCTGTTCTTGCTTGTGGAGTGGCAGACTGCTGTTGCGGAGGGGATACCGTGACCTTCTCTGGCTGGACTGTAACTTAATCAGAGCTGCCGGCGTGACACGGTAACCCGGCGTGGAAGCCAACAGTCTGGGTAAGGCCCTTCACTAATGCCCCCACTAACGCCCATGACCACGCCGAGCTCATACCCCAACCGCACCAAAGCCTCTCCAATGCCACTTCTTTAAACTGACAAGAGATAAGCCTGGTTTTGGCGATTTGTAAAGAAATGTGTGTCCGGATAGACGGCTTCGCATGTTACACTCTCGAGTTTCGAGTTCATTATGGGAATTAATGATGTTCTATGTGCAGCTGGATTAGGGAGGTATCTGCTTTCTGCTTAGGCGTATTAAGATGATTACACTAAATAGGCTGCAAATGGACAATGGTTATGCCTTTAGGAGCCAAAAGAACAGTGTTGCTTTTTCTCAGGCTATAAGGTGGTATTAGGTTTAGAGCACTAACACTTGTAGGTGTTTAGACAAGGCTTGCTACTTAATGTGATTATGTGAAGTTCATCAACGAGGGGCTGAAGGGGTGTTTCGTCAGCTGTTGGGAGCGCGCACACACCTGCAGCGACTTGTGTGTTCGAAATACGGTCTTTATCTAAAACAACAAGTCGGACTTAAGTTTTAGCCTCTGCAAATGGAGAGCTTCTCAGGTGGACAGTCATAGGAGTAAAAGGAATAACATTTGTTTTGCATCGACATGACTAAGAATAAATGTCTAGAATCCTTGCATTAGAATGGTCCGGCTGACATCCTTAAAGTCTTAGCAACAACATGTGCAGATACGTATCAGGGTGTAACTTTGATAGAGATCAGGATTGTAACACTTTCCAATGTCTTGGATCAAGGCCCAAAGCAGAAGCAGTAGAACATTTATTATTCAATGAATCCATTATAAATTCACAGATTATTGGAGGAATGGTGTAAATTGTTGACAAGATTAGAGATAGGGTTTGACTGGAGAATTTTAATGGCATATTTCATATTTAAATTTTTAAAGGCCGTACAGGGGGGTGTTGATAATGCTAATACACTAGTTTTTTTAAAATAATTTTTGCCCTTATGGATATTGATGGGATTTGTGAACACAACGTTAACAAGAATTTATTTGAGGAAGGTTTGTTTATAGCTTTTCTTTTGCCTATATTTTTGTGTATTTATCTTTTTACATTATGGAGGAATTTTGAACAAGTATTCATTTTTGGTAGATATTTCGTGAACAAAATCAACAAAATCAACACAATTTGGGGCGACTTTTCATGACTTTCATGACTCCCACTGATGTTGTTGTGTTTTTTGGCAAGACACTTAACCCCACATTGCCTGAAGCCCCAGCTGGAAGATCTCAGCTCCTGTGGACTCACCACCTGCAGGAGGATCAGTGAGAGGCTGGTGCTCTGTAAACTGGGTGCATCTCTGACTGCCACCCCCCCGACCCAGAAATGAGTTAAGGGGAAACAAATGGATGGATATATTTTTGTGTATTTACCTTTTGACATTATGGAGGAAATTTGAACAAATATTCATTTTTGGTAGATATTTCCTGAACAAGTTAGTTTTTTTTAAGATGGGTATTTTATTTTGATGAATTAATAGAAAAAATAATTAATCATAAAATAAATGAGATTTCCTGAGATGTAAAATGCCATGGTAATAGTCAAATGAAGCGGCACGGTGGCTGAGTGGATAGCACTCTAGCCTCTCAGCATGAAGGTCCTGGGTTTGAATCCCGGTCGGACCAGGCCCTTTCTGAGTGGAGTTTGCATGTTCTCCCTGTGTCTGTGAAGGTTTCCTCCGGGTACTCTGGTTTCCCCTACCACTAAAAACATACAATACAATAGGTCTCCTGTTCGGCGACCCCGCTTCCATCTCTGTCTGAAGTGAGAGACAAATGCCCAAAAATAACAATTGTAAACCGCTTTGAGACTCTGGTCTGTGAAAGGCGGTATATAAATAAAGATTACTTACATACTTGAAAAGAGGTTAAGGCCGATATAAGGCCATATTCCCAAAAAAATATTAGCCCATCTTGAATATATAAGCCTATCTTTATCGCCCGATAATCAAATTATTTTTGTACATGTAGGTCAGACATGTATGTGGCATTACTGTGTTACATGTGAAGTTATAGATAAACGTGTGGTCAGGAGTCACATTGAACTGGTGCGTGTGTGGCCTCAGATTAAATCTAAACGTTCTCCAGCTCTACTTTACACAACTATCCCAATAATGCTGTAAAAATAGAGGATGCAAGAACAGGTGTGGCCTTTCCCTGATCGAATCCTGAATCGTGAGAGGGGACGTTGTCGTTCCATAGGAGTCAAACAAATCTGACCCTCGTAAAACCACAACATGCCTCCGGTCCACAAAAAATGTCAGATTTTCACGTTTGGATGTGATGGAGCAGGCTGAGGGCTACGTGGAGGCATGTTTGCATCTGCAAGCTATTTCAGTCCAGCGTCTTTCGGTGCGGTAGAGAGAGCTGTTAAATACATACATCGGAAAGCTTCCTGTGTAATTGAGCGCCTGATAGAAGTGTTTGTTACTGTGGCCGTGAGAGGAGAAAGGGCTTAGCGGCGGTCAGGGGTCGTGGTGGTGGGATTTCAGGGCTGAAGCCCAGATCAGGACACTTGTGAGAAAACAAAGACAATCTCGCACAGAAAAGCTGCACAAACATACAAATATATATCTTGTTTTAAATGCCATTCTTTTCTCTTTTGAACCATGTTTATTTAGTTGTAGAGTGAAAAAAACGTGTTGAAAGCAGGGTTTTGGGGCTATGTAATCCTGTGTATTAGATTTCCTATTCAACTTGTGAAAATATTGAAGGAATATGACAAAAAGTGATAAAAAGCTCAAAATTGTTTGAATTTTGAAGCGTATCAAGTAATTTGAGTACATTTTGACAAAGAAGGGGAGTGCATTTGTAAAGCACAGTTCATGCAAGGCAACTCAACAATTCCAATGGAAAAAGCAAAAATATCAAGAGAATGCAATGGCACTATTCAAGCATGTTTTACCTTATGCTTTTGCTCGTGTTATCTGAACCACTTACTTGAGTTGCCCTGTGCATGACTGGTGCCATACAAATAAACCTGATCTTTTGCAGTGTATGTATAAACTTCAGGATTGTGAAGAATTGTAGGTCTTCTCTTGTATTAGATTTGTGTATGTTGTTGATTTTACTTGCCCTTAACACACTTGATGACAAAACTATTCTTTCACACATCTCCTTTGGAACTGGTCCGGCCGCCCTTGAG